CTGTCAAGTTTGAACACCACTGGGGCTTTTTTTCTAAAGTGTTAGGAGTGCAAGGGTCTTGTAACTTGACAGCTTTAAGACTTGCGTGCTTCAAATGCCAGAGTTTCTGAGCCAACATTTTGATTGCTAAGCAAGAGCATTGTTATGTGAGTTTCACCACATTTTACAAGTTGGCCATGCCCACCCAGTCACATGACTGCCAAGCCACTCCCACCCAGTCACATGGCTGTCAAGCCACTCCCATCTAGTCACATGGTTGGCAAGCCACTCCCACAAAACAGGCCACACCTACAGAAGAGGTTCTAAAAAAAATTGAAACCTACCACTTCATGGTCCTCTTATTACTTAGGGCCATATATTTCTTCTTGTCTTCCTATTCATCTTCTCTGGCATTTAGTTTTCTTCCTTTCCTTCCTAAATTTTACTAGGCTCAGATTAAGGTCAACTGACAGCTCCTTGGCCCTTCCATTGTTTAACTGACAAATAATTAAGACTGTTGAAAATTAAACATGAGTGTAGCAATGAAAGATCTATGATAGGGGAAAAAAATAGAACCCCAGGGGTGTTCAAACTTGACAGCTTTAAGACTTGTGGAGTTCAATTCCCAGAATTCCTCCTCTCGCTCTTCATCTTGATGTGTGGATAGGCGGGGGGAGGAAGCTGGAACTGGTTCTATATGGCACTGTAGATTTGTGGAGCCTCTTCTATACAAGAGGTTAGAACTGGCAGGAACCCATCCCTGGTCCTCCTACACATATAGTATACTGTTACGCTCTTTTTATAGCTGGTGTTCAGACTTAATTGCTTATATAGTCAGGTGAGGAGTAAGTACTGTTTCCTTTTATGGAAATGTAGGCAATAACCTCTGGAAAGTAATTAGAAAGTAAATACAATGTGTAAAGCATCTGCGATACTTGAGACATAATGTCTGAGTTTCCAAAGTGCATTACACCTTCCTGACAGCAATTTAGATTGCTTGCTGCCATCTATGCCCTTATGTGTCAGGCATAAGCAACCAGCAAAAGCAGATACTGTATTGGTGGTCACCTATATTACAAGAATCTTGTTAGACTGTCTGTTTCCCTTGGGAAATGGCTGATATAGACTTAAGGATTTGATTGCAGACATTTCTTATCCCAAATGGACTGTATCAGATACAGCTGGAAAGGACCATGAAGGCCTTCTAGTTCAACCTTCTGCTCAAGCAGGAAACCTTATATTATTTCAGACAGGTGGCTGTCCAGTCTTTTCTTTAAAACCTCGAGTGATGGAATATCTACAACTTCTGAAAGCAAGCTGTTTCATTGGTTAATTGTCCGTATTCTTAAGAAGTTTCTCCTTAATTCCATGTGCTTGTCTCCTTGATTAGTTTCCACCCATTGTTTCTTGTCTTGCCTTCTGGTGATTTGGAAAATAAGTTGACCTCCTCTTCTTTATGGCGGTCCCTCAAATACCGGAACACTGCTATCACGTGTCACCCCTAGTCTTTCTTTTCTGTCAACTGGCAATACCTAATTCCTGCAACCGTTCTTCATATGTTTTTGTCTCCAGGCCCTTAATCATCTTA